GGTAGCTGATCAATGTTCTCTCATCGTTGATGTTTCTATCTCTCTCTCCCTCTCCCCTCCTCTCTGAAATCAATAAAAATATATTTTTTAAAAATCATAATAACTCAATAGACTCCTGGTGCCAACCGCCACTTCTGGGGGCCGGGAGGCAAGATGGGGTGCAAGGAGCTGGCGGACTCTGCATTGCACGTGAGTCGGGCTGCATAACCCACTTGAGCTGTATGTGTGGGTCTCACTTGCGGATGCCTGTCCTGTGCTATTAAAACGAACACAAGGAATAGAAAGGAGAGGTCTTCCCTCGCAGAATCCTGCGCCCGGGTTCCCAGGCAGCCTTGCCGTTCTGCACCAGGTCCCCCGCGTGCTGTGCGCTCTGAGAGCCCTGGAAAGCCATTCTCGAGGGGACTGCTGTCTTTGGACCCTGCGACTTGGGACAGAATGAGAGGTTGTCAACGTGGCAGGGTGGACATGACGGAGGAGGTGAAGTCTGTCAGCATCCGTGGGCTGGCCCCCCTGGTCACCTCGGTCTGGCCCACCCGGTCACCTCGGGCTGACTCACCCGGTCATCTCGGGCTGACTCACCCGGTCACCTCGGGCTGACTCACCCGGTCACCTCGGTCTGACTCACCCGGTCACCTTGGGCTGACTCACCCGGTCACCTCGGGCTGACTCACCCGGTCACCTCAGGCTGGCCCCCCTGGTCACCTCGGGCTGGCCCCCCTGGTCACCTCGGGCTGGCCCCCCTGGTCACAGATGCACAGAGGAGCGCTGCCCTCTAACTAGGTCCTCCCACATGTTTTCCTGGGTGGTTTCCTGGGCAGAGGTGCATATAACGGACACCCCACAGAGCACCTCCAACCCCCTCGGTGGGGACAGGGCCTCCTTCTTCAGAAAGATTTGCCGACCGGATGGGCTGCCCTGAACGCAAGTGCTTCCCAGGCCGAGGGACCCTCAGGCGTTGCTGTTTGCACCTCCCTTTGACGTCTTGCTGCCTTTATTTCCCCTCTCCCGGCTCCCCATTTTCGGCACTTTGGGGAGAAGGAGGAACGTGGATCCAATTAGCTGGAACCTCCCGTCCACGCTGGTGTAGGGCTGCGAGTTGTTGCAGTGGCGGCTGCCTGGCGGTGGAACGGCCGCGGCCCCCGCTGCCTGACTGGGCGCGTTTTTATGAACGTGGGTGCGGCGTAGCTGCGCCTATGAATCAGGGGGACCCGCTGACGAATCGCTCGGCACTCGGAGGACGGAAAGGGGCTGTCAGCCCTGAGGCCTCGGATTATAAGCTGCAGGAGCCTTCTTTGTCCTCCTGGTGCTGGTGTGTCAGACGGGCACGGCTCCACTCACGGCCAAGTGGCTGAAGGCCTCGCTAGGCAGAGCAGTAAATCCTCCTTCGCCCTCTCAGCCTGGCCGGGGGCGCTGGCGGGCAGGGGGGAGGGCCCGCCTGGGGCATCTCTCCTCCGTGAGTATTTCCCGAGCCTCTCCTGTGGACCCAGGCGGGACCTGATGTCTCGGGGCTCTGAGGAGGAGAAGGCAGCATCTGTGCCCCTCGCCCGGCTGCCAGGGTCAGAAAGACTCGTCGGATACGGTGAGATGAGTCCAGGCTCGCTCTGCCCAGCCAGGGGCAGCTGTGTGTGCTGGCATAGTCCGGGGAGGCTGCCTGTCCAGGTGGGACACACACGGATGGGGAAGGATTCAGAGCAACCCCTCTCTCCATCCCCCCAAGGCTGTACTAACTCAGGATGCAGTCGGATTCTCTGAGCCCACTTTTTTCTTTTCTGGAAATGTGTTTTTCCCAGCCAGCAGGGTGAATTCTGAGGTTCAGCTTATGTGATGAACGGTCATAGAGTCCTCCCTACAAGGTCTTTTTCACACACTCTCTGCCTCATTAATGTCCAAGAGGCGTCCCCATTCTGATAGGAAGGCCATGTGCAAGGGTGCTGTCTCCCATTCATTCATTCATTTTTCATTCCTTGAATCCATACTCAATACCAGGCAGTAAGAAGCATGGTTTGTGGGGCAGAGGGTGCGCTGGGGGTCTCTGAGGCAGCCCCCCACATCGGAGGCCATCTCTAATTACGGTGACAGTCTCCCCGAGGGAAGAGGAGGACGTGCATGGGGCCTGTGTGTGCTGAGCCCGCACCGTGTCCCTGAACTTGTCAATGAATTCTTTTCCGCGAGGATCCGTGGAAGAGCTGCCTGAATCTCTACCGGGTGCGTGTGGCCTAGTTGCCAGGGCTCCAGGGGCAGGACAAACACCCGGTAGATGCTGCCAGTGGGCTATGTGGGGCAGGCCCGCTGGCACGCCCACGTGTGCGTGCGCCTCTGCGGCAGGGTGCCCGGCCGGGGGGACGCCTGCTGTCGCTGCCAGCCCCTGCCAGGGCCCGGGGACCCAGGGGCTGGCTGAGAGCCCCAGCCCATCTGTGTCTGTGTCTTGCCACCGGCAGAGCCCCTCTGCTGCCCAATTCTTGTCTTTGCGGGCACGTCAGAGCACCTGGCGCCGGTGGTGAGGCTGGGCCCCCGGGAGCCCGAGGGGAGCCTGCGTCCTTGGCTGTCCCAGATAATGTTCTCAGATATGCGGAGCTGGCAGCAAGCACTTATTGAGCACTTGCTGTGTGCCGGGGCGGGTCGAAACCCCTTCTCTGCCCGGCCGGTGTGGCTCAGTGGTTGAGTGCCGTCCCAAGCACCAGGAGGTCGCCGGTTCGATTCCCAGGCAGGACACATGCCTGGGTTTCCGGCTCAATCCCCAGCAGGAGGCGTGCAGGAGGCAGCCAATGGGCGTTTCTCTCTCATCAATGTTTCTATTTCTCTCTCTTCCTCGCTCTGAAATCGAGTCTAAAAAAACAAAAACAACCCTTTTTTCATAATTATTAATGTTATTAGCTTAATTAATCCTCACGTCAACTTGAAGAGGAAGGCTGTTTTTGGATGGCGGTAACTTAAAAACAAAAAGACTTTATTTTTGGGGTCACACTGGTCAGAAGACCACTGGGCCACTGCGGTCCCAGGTGCCAGCCCCTCCCTTCCTCACAGCCCATGGGGCAGGGCCTGGGGTGGCCCTTATTCACCAGCAGGAACAGGTTTGGAGAAGCCAGGATTTGAACTCTGCCCTGCGGATTCCGGGAGGGTCTGCGAGGCCTGGGCTCTGGGTGTGGGTGTGACGCGGGTGCTCAGGGCACCGCCTCTTCCCTGGGAGCCTTCGGGTGGATGTTCAGGGTCTCCGCAGCTCCCAGGTGGGGCGATGGAGCCAGGTTCGCATCTGGAAGCCGGACAGGGTGCCTGCCATTGTGTGGGAGCCACAGGGTGGGCCGCCTGCTAAAAACATAACAGAGCACCTCATTGCCTGTGTTTTTGTGCGATGCCTTCCGGTGGCTGCCTGTCCCTCTGAGACAGCGTTCTCAACCTTCCTAATGCCGCGACCCTTTCATACAGTTCCTCATGTTGTGGTGACCCCCCAACCATCAAATTATTTTCGTTGCTGCTTCATAACTATAATGTTGCTACTGTGATGAATCGGAATGTAAATATCTGCTATGCAGGATGTATTTTCATTGTTACACATTGAACATAATGAAAGCATAGTGATTCATCACAAAAACAGTATGTAATTATGTATGCGTTTTCCGATGGTCTTAGGCGACCCTGTGAAAGGGTCGTTCGACCTCCAAAGGGGTCGCGACCCACAGGTTGAGAACCGCTGCTCTGAGAGGAAAATCCCAAAGTCCCCCGGTGGCCAGAGGCCCTTTGCAGTGCGCGTCCATGTGCCCCTCGGCCCTCACCCCCGCCCTGCCCCGGCCCCGGCACAGGCTCACCCCAGAACTCCTGTTCCGACCCACCAGGAGGACTCCCATGTTTCCACGGCAACTCCCATTGCCGTTACGTGTTAATCATCTTTGTGTACGATCGGTTTGCCTCACCACTAGAATGGGGGACAGCACCCCCCCGCCCCCAGTCCCCAGCTCAAGGCGCCTGGCACATAGTACATGCTCAGTAAATATTCTATTGGATTGTTAAAGTCCTGCTGGACCCCATCCTGGGGCCCTCGCCATGTGACACGGTCTGGGGTTCAGGCCTTGGAGGTGGCCTGTGCGGCCTGCCGCTGGGCCTGCAGGACAAATCCCAGCAAATGGCGCCCTCAAGTGCCAGCTCTTTGGGAGCCGGTCCTCTGGGGTCCGTAAGCTGGGGGGTGGCTGGACTGTCTGGGGCTGGGATGGGGATTGGCATCCGCAGCCCCACACCAGCCCCAGTTCTGGGGATCGGGGGCAGGGTCGTGGCGTGCGGGGCGTGGCTCTGTAGAGAGGGGCGTGGCTCTGCAGGGAGGGGCGTGGGTGGTGTGGGGTGGCTCTGCAGGGAGGGGCGTGGCTCTGCAGGGAGGGGCGTGGGTGGTGTGGGGTGGCTCTGAGGGGAGGGGCGTGGCTCTGCGGGGAGGGGCCTGGTGTGCAGGTCACTGACATCCGCTTCCTTGCAGAGGAAGGCATCAACCACGAGTGTAAGCTGTGCAACCAGATGTTCGACTCCCCGGCCAAGCTGCTCTGCCACCTCATCGAGCACAGCTTCGAGGGCATGGGCGGCACCTTTAAGTGCCCCGTGTGCTTCACAGGTAAGGGCCACACCGAGCGCATGGGGAGAGGGAGGGGACCAGCAGAGGCGTCCGGCCTGACAGGGACCCTGGGCTCCTGGGGA